ATATATATATATATATATATATATATATATATATATACATATATGTAACTTACATCACTATTACATATTTATTATTATAATTTATCATCACATTATAGAATAATTAATACTAAAAGATTAGAATTAATATAAAAATTAGAAATAGAATTAATACAAAAAAAACTTAAATTGCGTAACGCATAATAACATAGTTTTCATTACACACATTTGCACAGACTTAATGGCAGTGGATCACAAAGATCATTTATGTTTACGTTTCTTTTAGACCCAGAAAATTGTACTTCGTAACCTCGAACGTGTTCATTAAATCCTATAGTAATTAAGACCTCGCAATGAAATATCACAATATTTTGACATACAATTATAGCAGCAATTGAATCAAATAATGGTCCTGATTCACTTTCGTCAATAATAACAATGAAATTGTAACGAGAACAAGTTCCCTTGTAATTTATCCATTTAAGAATTTTCAAGTTTGAATTATATACTTAATATTGTTAGGTAAAAAAGCTAAAATCTGAATCTTTTCAAATCTATCCATCTTTTTTATGAGTCCAGTTGAAAAAGTTTGCAAAATAAAAGAAGAACTTAGAAATCTGTAACACATGTGCAGTTGGTGACAGCAATTGAATAAGCTTTATTTTTCTTACATGAGTTTATAGAAGCCGATTTTTTTAAGAAACTTATGCTTTGCTTCGAATTTGAAGCATGAAAACTGACTCACAGGTCCTGTTTTTTTCATAAAATTAAGATAGTGAACAAGTGCATGATATTTTTGTTTCAAATTATCGTTTGTTATTTGGAGATATAATTTATGATGTTCATTTACAAGTACTTGCAAAATATTAGGATGAGCTTTGTTAATACTTTCCGTGAGGATAATATCAAGAATCTCTCTTAAAAGTTTATATAACAACCAAAAAGGATTATTATCAGAAACCACATTACCAATCAAAAGACCAAAATATTTTACAAAACATAATGTTTAGGTAGCAATCATTTTTAATGTTAAACTATTTAGATGCTTTTTAAAAATAAATGGAGGTTCTGACGATTTATCAATAAGTCCATAATTAAACACAGACATTTGAGAATTTAGTTGATCGAGACTGAAGTAATCACATTCTATGCAATGTTTTATTATGTAACACATGTCATAATGGCATATCCCTTCGGCGAGATTATGCAATGAATCTAAAGCAGAATTCAATGTCACATGAAAATGTTTTAATTTATTAAAGAGATGCTTCTTTCTTTTATTCCTGTTAATTTTTCGTTTTTTCTAACAATATCTTCTTCGTAATTTTGTGGACTTCGTTGGTATGATATATTATCTTTACACTGAATTTACAAATTTTGTTTCGAATTTTTACAAATTCTACAATAATAATGAGCATTAAAACTTTCTACAAAACCAAACATTGAATTAATTCCTAAATTGTCACCAGTACAAAATTCTGTAGTAAAATATATTTTTTTATCTCTCTGTCCATTGTTGTTACAGAAATTCCTTCATTTGCCAAAAAATTAAATTCATCAATTAAGGAGGAAAAATTTTCTTATTGCCAAAAGTTTTTCTACTAATACTTTCAAAAATTAATACAAGAAATATATTATCAGAATTAAATTTACATTCAGGAGGAAGACAAAGCAACTCCGCGTAGACTACATCAAGTTTACCAGATTTAGGACCAAGTGGATTATTTGATTCAAAGTCATCGAAATAAAAGATTAAAGGGAAAACAATATCATCTGACTTATAAAATGATAATTTACGCTTCCATGTATCAGTTTGAATATAACTATATATCTTATCTACAGAATTTATTAAGGAATTCATATTTGAAAATATATCTTCCAAAGCATGAGGAATTTTGAAAAAACGTTCCAACATATGTCTTAATGGAATAAATTGTCTTGTTTCACTAATAACTCGTTCAGTGCCATGTCGAATAATATATGATTGCGGAGCCACATATTGTCCACTGTTCGTAAAATATTTAATTCTACGATATTCTGTTGACATCAATTCAAAGAATCCTTATAATCTTTACAAAGTAATTAAATTTTGTCTATAACTATCTTACTGTCATTTACATTTTCAATGAAAGTAAGGAAATTTTCAGCTTTTTTAAGACAATCGTCAATAAAAAGTTTTTGAATGTCTTTATATTGATTTTGGACATAATTTCGCGGAAATTATTATTTTCCATAATAATTTTGCAAAGAAAGAAAGAAGCAACTTTATTCATTGTATGTTCTTCAACATTAACAAAATTGTCGTGATTCAATGAGTTATCAAAATCAGACGAATCAAAATTATAATAATTATCTTCTATTATGGATATCACTACCAGGGTTCTATTTAATACTTTATATGTATTAATAAAACTATTTTATAAATATAACCATATATTAAAATGTCTAGGTATAGCTTCCGGAATGGAGCCGTGTCTTGAATCAGCG